ATTGTTGGCATTTTAAAAAGTCCAGGGTCAATTTGATACCAAGACCTCCTAGGTTCTTTGTATTTCTCCATGGTTCACTTTGTTGCATAAATCCCATCTGGGGGAACGAAGTTTCCAGTTATCCTCACTAACAATCTCTATTGAGTCTTAAAACTTACACAGACTCTTGAGTAAGAACTCTTGAATAATGATTCTGGTATTACCTGTTTCCGGATTTCTTGACCTTGCACCCAGAGACCAAAGGATGATGATGACTTGAGTAGACGCAAGGCTAGTCCTGTCTGAATCGTTCTGAATCTGACAGGAAATGTGAAGACTGTCACCAATACCCATCTACTAGTGGTTCTCAAATTTTTTGTGTGTGTGTGTGTGTTTTTTTCAAACCTTGGTCAACCTACGTAGGGCAAAAGACCTACCGTATCCATTTCCACCTTATAGAGAAAAAAGAAATTAAGGATAGCAAAGATTTGGAGAGGAATACAATAACAATCAAAATGGTAATGTTGCAGCAGTTGTGTAAAAGAAAAGGATTAACAAGTAACACCAAACATTCCTTAATACAAGAGCACCAACTCAAAAGATCAGCTCAGACATATAGAAAACCCCAAATAATTCATAAGAAAGCTACTAGAGCTAGTAAATTAATTCAGCAAAGTTTCATGGTATGTGGTCAACACGCAGAAATCAGTTGGGTTTCTACACACCAGCAATGAACAGTCTGTAAAGGAAATTAAGAAAACAATCCCATTTACAATAGCATCTAAAAGAATAAAATACCTAGGATAAATTTAACCAGGGAGGTGAAAAACTTGTACACTGAAAACTATAAAATATTACTGAAAGAAGTTAAGGAAGATCTAAATAAATGGAAAGACATTCAGTGTTCATTGATTGGGAGAGTTAATACTGTTTGCATGCCAATACTATCCAAAGGAATCTATAGATTCAATGCAGTCTCTATAAATAAATTCCAACAGCCTTTTTTTATAGAAATGGAAAGCCAATCCTCAGATCTATATGGAATTGCAAGGGGCCCTGAATAGTCAAACCAATCTTGAAAAAGAAGAACAAAGTAGGCGGACTCACACTTCTTGATTTCAAAATGTACTATAAAGCTACAATAATCAGAACAATCTGGTACTGGTATAATGATAGACATACCCTGTAGCCATCAAGTTGATTCCGACTCATACTGACCCTATACAACAGAGTAGAACTGCCCCCTAAGGTTTCCAAGGCTGTAAATCTTTTACAGAAGCAGATTGCCACATCTTTCTTCCACAGAGCCGCAAGTGGGTTTGAACCGCCAACCTTTCCGTTAGCCACCAAATGTTTAACCGTTGCACAACCAGGACTCCTTGATAGGCATACAGACCAATGGAATAGAATTAAGAGTCCAGAAATAAGGTAATATCTCTATGGTAATTGATTTTCAACATGGGTGCTAAAACCATTCATTGAGGAAAGAATTGTCTCTTCAATAAATGATGCTGGGACAACTCAATTCTCCACGTGGAAAAAAATGAAGCTGGACTCATACTTCATATCATATACAAAAATTAACTCAAAATGGATCAATGGCCCAAACGTAAGAAATAAAATTCTTAGAACAAAACATAGGGGTAATGCTTTGGGACCTAATTTTCAACAGGATTTTTAGATATGACATCAAAAACATGGTCAACAAAAGACAAAATAGATAAATTGGACTTCTAAAAATTAAAAACTTTTGTGCATCAAAGGTCTTTATCTACAAAGTGATACAGAATGGGATAAAATATCTGGGAACCATATATCTGATAAAGGTTTAATATCCAGAATATATAAAAAACTCCTACAACTCAACAACAAAAATCAACCTAATTAAAAAATAGGCAAAAGACTTGGATAGAAATTTCACCAAAGGGGATACACAAATGGCCAATAAGCCCATGAAAAGATGCTCAACGTCATTAGTTATAAGGGAAATGCAAATTAAAACTACAGTGAGATATTACTTCACCTCCACTAAGATGACTATTATCAGAAAAATGGAAAATCATTTGTTGGTGAATACATGGAGAAACTGGAACCCTCATCTATTGCTGGTGGGAATGTAAAATGGTGCAGCCGCTGTGGAAAACTGTTTGGCAGTTCCTCAAAAAATTAAACGTAGAATTTCCATATGACCTAGAAATTGCACTACTAGATATATACTCACAAGACTTGAAAGCATGGACTCAGATACGTGTACACCAATGCTCACTGTAGAACTGTTTGCAATGGTGCACTATTTTAGCACTATTTGCAAAAAAGGTGGAAACAACCCAGATGTCCATCAACAGAAGAACGGATAAACAAAATGTGGTGTATCCATACAATGGAATATTACTCAGCAATAAAGAAAAATGAAGTCCTGATACATGCTACAACTGGGATGAACCTTGAAAACATTATGCTGAGTGAAATACGTCAGACACAAAAGGACAAAAATTGTGTTATCCCATTTATATGCAATATCTAGAATAGGCAAATGCATAGAGACCAAAGTTTATTAGTGGTTACCAGAGGTGAGTGGGAGACGGAAAGGGGAATTTACTGCTTAAGAGGCACTGAGTTTCTGTTAAGGGTGAGGAAAACATTTAGAAATGAATAGTGGTAATGTTTGCAAAACTTGGTGAACCTAATTAACATCATTGAATTGCACACATAAAAATGATCAAAATGGCTAATGTTTTGTTATACATATTTTGCCACAATTAAAAAAAAGAAAGAAAGAAAATCATAGCTTTGAAACAATAAACTGTAAAAACAACAGAAACCAACTCAGCATGACCCTGATGATACCTGGTAACTGAGAATCTTTTCTGAAACCTGGGAATTTCAGTTGTTTTCATGTAGAGAACACAGGAGGAATTGTGCAACATTGCCAAAGGCTGTACGGTGTCCCGGCTTCTTGTTGTTGTTAGGTGCCGTGGAGTCAGTTCTGACTCATAGTGACCCTAACCAAAAAAAAACCAAACCCGCTGGTCATCAAGTCGATTCTGACTCACAGCGACCCTATAGGACAGAGTAGAACTGCCCCATAGAATTTCCAATGAGCAGCTGGTGGATTTGAACTGCCAACCTTTTGGTTAGCAGCTGAGCTCTTAACCACTGTGCCACCAGGGCTCCATAGAGACCCTACGTACGACAAAACGAAACACTGCCCGGTTCTGTGCCATCCTCATAATTGTTGTTATGCTTGAGTCCGTTGATGGAGCCATTGTGTCAATCCATCTCGATAAGGGTCTTCCTCTTTTTCGCTGACCCTTTACCAAGCATGATGTCCTTCTCCAGGGACTCCCAACTGTTTAGAATACTGAATTTTAGTCCTCAGTGAACTCCAGTTGTTTGAAAATTTTAGATTACAAATAACAAAGTTTACAATGCTAAGTAGCTATTAGTAAGAACCACTTGATGCTAAGCAAAATTGGAAGTCAATAGAATCACCTTTGAAGATGGGCTTTTTTGCATGAGTTATAAACTTTCCAAGGACCCTTTTGGTCTGTTGCTTTAAGACGGTTAAACAATCAGACAGATGGGTGGTTAGAAGGGGAGAAGAAAAAGTGCAGCTGAGACATAAGGATAATAATCTCCATGAAGCACCTTAGGTATTACTGTGATGTCCTTCCCTGCCCTGCTTCCATGCCCTAGAGGCTGATGGAGGGATGAGAGAAACAGAAATTACCTTAGAATCTCTGCTTCACTCCTCTCTCTGAACTTTCAGGCCTGTTTCTATTATTGCCTTATTCAGTCATCCAACCCTGACTCCTACCCCGCACCCCGACTCATTCTTACAGTCTGGCTGGAGCCCACCTTTGCTCAGGGGTCTCTCAGTCCCATCTCCCTTAAAAAGACTTCCTGCTCACTGTGAATAATTCCTTAAGAAACATTAATAGTTAACGCTTTGAGGGCTTGCTATGTATTAGGCCCTTTACATAGATTCATTATCTCCTGAAACCTCCCACAACCTTGCAAGGTAAATAATATTCTCCCCCATTTTACAGATGAGAAAACAAAGACTCTCAGAGGTTGAACACCTTGCTCAAGGTCACAAGCTAGACAGTGATAGAAGCAGGACTTAGACCCTGGACTCTCTAACTCCCAAGCCCCTGCAGTTTTCCATTGCACTGTCCTGCGCTCCAGCAAGGGGCTGAGCTGAGCTTCTGCCCAGGTCCGCTGACTCCCGAGAGGAATGAATGAGCTGCTACTCTGCATGGCTGCCTCCTCGGGCTGTTCCTGCCTAAAATCGAAGCTCTCGACATTATCTCCACCTCATCATTGCTGCCTCATCAATTATTTTTATATGTTGTTTAAAAAAATTAATAAAAGAAATTTTAGCACATTATTTAAAAATTCAAGCAATACTGAAGCTTAATAAACAGAAAGTGAAAAATCTCCCTTGCTGCCATCTCCTAATCCCAATCCTACTCTCCAAATGTAACTACGATTAACCATTTAGTGAGTATTTTTTCAGACTTTCTCTATATGTTTAAAAATATGTGCATGCATGTGTGTTTAGGAAGTCTTTCTGACTTCTCAGAGTTCTGTAATCTTTGTATCTTTATTCTAAATCGTTATTATCCATTTCGGATTATAAACTGCAAAGAGCGAGATAAATGTACTTTTAAATGAATGTGTGAAGCATCCAATGAAAGAAACCCCTATTCTTAAGGCATTTACAGGAGCATTTGAGTTGGAGGAAGGGATGGAAGGAAGGAAGGATCCCTCTAGAGAGAACCCAGGTCACTAGAAGGGACAAGCACATGAACTTCAGAGAAAGCAGCACGTCGTCGATAAGCTCACAAGCAACTGGACTGACCTGCCAGGGTGTGCACACTCCCCAGGCTGTGAAATCACTCACATGTGGGTTGTCTGATGGCCGGGGGTGGGGAGGACAGGAGAGAGGGGAGGCAGGAGGGCGGAATGTGGGTTGGGCCAAGTTTAGAATTACAAGTGCAGCAGAGGCGATCTCAAACCACACTTTAAATAGCCAGCACCTTTCCCTTCCCCCTTAGATAATTCTTCTCCCCCCTGACTGGACTTCTGGCAGAAGCTTCACGAAGGTTCGGTTCGTAACATTTTCTTCTGTTTTTTTCTGTTTCTGGGTCTCAGACTGCAGGTTGGTGGATCTACAGGACTTACAACCAAAGGATTGCTTGATCCTCTCCTAGGAAATACGTTTCTGACATTTATATGTGCATATGAAAATGCAATGTGCTGTTTTCCTTAAATTGTGCTTTCCTTGTCTTTCTGAAACTTTGATGGCTGTTGACTTAAGGGACAATATGATTTGGAGAAAGAGAACTCTAGATTGAGAGGAAAGACGTTTGAGTTTAATTCTAAGAAAATGAGAGCACCCTTCTCTGTGAAATGAGACAATGAACAACTCTGGACAGGACTGAAAGAAAACAAAAATTTGCATGCCTGTTATTCTACTAAGTGCTTTCATTTAATTCTTTTTAGCTTATTTAGCTAAAATATGATATATGCTGTCACTTTTACAGATTAACAAACTAAGGCTCAGAGTCATTAATTAACTTCCGAAGCAGTCGTATGGGTCAAAGCTAAGATTTAAACCCAGGCTTGTGGTCTCTAAAGCTCCTGTCCTTTCAACTGCACCATGCTACCTCTGAGAAGCAACTAGAATGAGGCTAAGGAATCTAGCAAAGGATTACTCTTTCTTCTAAGGTCTGGGAGGATGAAGAAGTGAAGCGAGATGGCTTTCCATTATTGAAAGACATCCTTCAGATGGTAAGGGGAGGCCCAGAACCAGCACAAGACATTAGACAATCTTCCCAAAAGAATCAAGGAAGCTCTTAGGACGAGTTGCTTCATGTCTTAGTTATCTAGTGCTGCTATAACAGAAATACCACAAGTGGATGGCTTTAACAAACAGAAATTTATTTTCTCACAGTTTAGGAGGCTAGAAGTCTGAATTCAGAGCGCTGGCTCTAGAGGAAGTCTTTCTCTGTCAGCTCTGGAAGAAGGTCCTTGTCTCTTCAGCTTCTGCTTCCTAGTTTCTTGGAGATCTCCAAGTGCCTTAGCATCTATCTTACCCCATCCTCCTCTGCTCATTTGTTTAACCTCTTTTATGTATCAGAAGAAGTTGACTCAAGATACACCCTACACTAATCCTGTCTCATTAACATAACAAAGACAACCCATTCATTCCCAAATGGGATTATAACCACAGGCATAGAGGCTAAGATTTGCAACACATATTTTGGGAGGACACAATTCAATCCATAACATTCTACCCTTTGGCCCACAAAAATTCATATCTTCGACACACGCAAAACACATTAACCCCATCATATCATCCCCAAAGTCTTAAATCAACTACAAGTTCAAGATCTCATCTTCTGAATCATCTAAATCAATGGGTGAGACTTTAGGCATATTCCATCCTGGGGCAAAATTCCTCTTCATCTGTGAACCTGTGAAATCTAAAAAAGTTATCTGCTTTCAAAGTACAATGGTGGAACAGGCACAAGATAGACATTTCCATTACAAATGGGAGAAACTGGAGAGAAAGAAGGGATAACTGGCATCAAGTCCAAAACCTAGCAGAACAATTTACATTAGCTGTGGGACCCCTGGTGGAAAAGTGGTTAAGAGTTTAGGCTGCTAACCCAAAGGTCAACAGTTCAAATCCACTAGCAGCTCCTTGGAAACCCTACGAGGCAGTTCTACTTTGTTCTGTAGGGTTGCTATGAGTCAGAATCAACTTGACAGCAACAGGTTTTTGAGTCAAGACTTGAAAATAATCCTCTGTTCTCTGAGACCATCTGGGCAAAGGCCTCATCCTCCAGACTCTGGGTGATGGCCATGCCCTCTGGATTCTGGGTGGGGCCCCTTGGTCCTGGGCTTCAGCTCTGCCTTCCACGCCCACTGGGATGGCAATTCTGCTCCCTTGGCTTTGAGCAGCACCATTCTCCTAGTCCATCTGAGTGGCAACCCCATTCCCTTGGCCCCGGAAGTCCCCGTTCTTCTGCCCCTTGAGCATGGCAGCCCCTCCTCTTCAGCTCTGAGCGGCAGCCCCATCCCTCTGGCACACCTTAATAGCAGCCCCATACTCTGGAACCGAGTTGGCAAAGATCAGACTTTTGAAACCTAGGAGGCTGTGGCCCCACCTTTTGAGATCCAGGAGACTGTGGCCTCACCCTTTGAAACTGAGAAGTCCTTGCTTCCCGTGTTCCTTCCAACAGTTCTGCTGATCTTCCAGCTGCTCCAAGGATGGCCTTTTTCTTTTCTTGGAAGACAACAGATGTAGCTCCTTTGTCCTGTTTCCTGCCTGTAGAATTCCAAGAGGCAGACAGCTTTCTTTCCTTTCATTCTTTCTTTGTCTCCTTCGGTCTGCGTTTATGGTTTTCTGCTGAGGTAGTTGGTTAGATACATCAGTCACAGAATTAATCTCTTTAACAAAACTAGGACACGTATCCTTAGTTTGTACAACAGAATTTTCCAACTCTTTAAGTTCTATTTTCATTTTGCATCGTTCATTTTTAAGTCCATCTCTTTCCTCTCACATTTTACTAGAAGGAGAAACCACAAGGCCCCTTTAAGATCTTGTTTAGAAATCCCATCAACTTTTGGTGAAACGAGAAAGTGAATATAAAGGACCAGGGAGAGTAAAACCTTCTGGGAGTGCCTGGAGATTTTTCAGGAGTTGAAAACAAGTACCTTGGAGTATTCTATTATTTTTGGAAAGTTCAAATATACAGGAACAGGAGGTTGCTGACTATACAGAAAGGCTCTAAACAGGTATTCTCAAAAACAAACAAACAAAAAAAACCCAAAAAAACAACAACTATTAAATCATCAGGGAGTAGTGTCAAGGAAAGAAAAAAAAGTTCCTTAGAGCTAAGTTTCCAAAATCTCTTTTTCAAGGTTTACACACACACACAGACACACACACACAAGATCATAAAAGAAAAGTGAAATATCTCAAAGGAGAACTTCACCATAGTCATTAACTGAAATCAGTTTTTCTACATCTCAGAGATAGTGTAGATTCTGGAGGACTCTAATAAAACACAAAACAAACAAAAAACATTTTAAAGGTATCAGGAAAAGAAGGTAGTTTTGGGTGTGGTTCACTAGTTGTCATAAACCTTGCCTAGTGTTGGGATGATGGTTATATCTATTTCAGGTTAACATCATCAATGTCCTACAACAACAAACAATTTAATAGTTGGTGGTAGGGAGTAGCTTTGGATCTATAATTCTTGTTTCTTCATTGTTGACATTTAACATTTCTAAACATTAACTTTTTGCAACTGAGTGACTTGTGTCTGCAGTGTTTGTGTTAGGAATCTAGCTTTTAAAATGTTAACTTTTCAACCCAGGTACTCTTGCTTTGGGTTCCCCCCTCCCCTCTTTTTTTAAGATTTCAGAAAATGGGATGTAGTGTGTTCAAAAATATTTTGCTTTTTTTTTTGCTCTTGTGAATTGTACCTTTTAGCAAAAAAAATGTTCAAATACAGGGGAAAAAAAAAAAGTCCATCACTTACAAGTTCCACCAAATATTTGAACATAATTCAGACAAGTTCTTTGCCACTGCATAAAAAGCATTGCCCTTCTTCCATTGTCCAATCATATGTTCATCATTTTCTTTTAAAGCCTCACCAGAAACACATTTAATGTCCAGATTTCTAGCAACATTCTGTTGCTGGCACCATAAGTATTCTCTAAGATGATAGAGACTTTCTCTATAGCTCTCCTCACTTTCTTCTGAGCCCTCACCAGAATTGCCTTTGACATCTATAATTCTACAAACAGTATCTTCAAGGCAATCTAGGCTTTCACTATTAGGCATCTTAAAACTTTTAAAGCCTCTCTACCTATTACCCAATTCCAAAACCGCTTCCACATTTTACTTATCCTTTAACGCAGCACCCCACTCTTCCGGTACCAAGTTCTGTTTTAGTTATCTAACCCATTGCCGTTGAATCGATTCCAACTCATAGTGGCCCTCTAGGACAGAGTAGAACTGCCCCATAGGGTTTCCAAGGAGCGGCTAGTGGATTCGAACTCCTGATCTTTTGGTTAGCAGCGGAGCTCTTTAACACTGTGCCACCAGGGCTAGAGCTTCTATAACAAAAACATCACAAGTGGTGGTTTTAACAAACTGACATTTATTTTCTTACAGTTTAGGAGGCTAGAAGTCTGAATTCAGGGGAATTCAGGGGAAGTCTTTCTCTCTTGGCTCTGGAGAAAGGTCCTTGTCTGCTTCCTGATTCCTTGGAAATCTCCGTGTGTCTTGGCATCTGTCCTACCCCATCTCTCCTCTTCTCACTTGTTTAATCTCTTTTATATCTCAGTAGAGATTGACTCATGATACACCCTACACTAAACCTGTCTCATGAACATAATAAAGACAACTCATTGCAAATGGGATTATAACCACAGGCATAGAGGCTAGGATTTATAACACATATTTTTGGGGGACATAATTCAATCCATAACACTTGAGTTTCTCCTTCTTAGCCCTCAAACCATCTTTGGAATCCATTCCTTAATTTATCTAATAAGCAAAGATGCCTACTGTTCCCTGACTTTCCCTCTGACTATCTGGGTCTCTTGGGTGGCCCAGCTGGAATCCAGAGAGATGAATCAAATGACACTCTGTGGCCGGATGGAGCTCCACTGAGAAAGTTCTGTTAACATGAACTTTTCCTAAGGTAGATAAAAGTCCGTCTGCTCACTTTTCCAGAAAAGGGGGCACTGTGTAACATCAGAGGAGAGCTATTAGAAGTAACTTCTATTAGTCATGCTGGTAAACTTAGACAGCCAATGTAATTGGAGTGATGTAATTGAAAAAGCAGAGACAAAGTGGATTCAAGTCCTGGCTGTGCAGCATACTAGCTATATGGCAGCAGTCACGTTCTTTAACTGCTCTAAGCAGCAGCTTCCTTATTTATAAAGTGGAAATAGTACTGCTTACCTCTCAGGCTTGCTAGAATTAAATGAAACAAATGCATGTAAAGTGACTGGTATACAGTAGTTGCTCACTGAATGTGAGCCACATCCAGTCTTCTCCTCCATTCCAATACGAGTCTAGAATAGGGCATTTCCAGCAGGGAAGGGATTGGAACTGTGGCTCTTTATTCATTTTATGTTGTCTTCTTATACTGTAACAGACTTCTGTATTTGTCATCACCAAAAAAAGAAAAAGATCCCAGAGTTATCGCTGTCTTAATGATTTCAGAGAGAGAAGAAGGGAATACCTGGAAAGATCAGTTTGTCTTATTCAGGGTCTCTGTTCCCACTCAACTTCATTCATTCATTTGGAAAGATTTTTTTTTTTTAAACTTACTTTTATTTTCATATTACTAAAATAAAACACATTCTCTGAATAACGTGTAGCAAATAGGTAAGGAAAATAGTCTCATAATCCAACCACTGAGAGAGAAACTTTTTGGTGGATATCCTAATCTTTCAGTCATATAATACTTTATAAAATATTTTACAAGCATGATCATATTGTATGTAAAGTTTTTATAACTGTTTTCACTTCATGTATTGTGAACACCTTTTCGTTAAATTTTCTCCTGCAGCACAAATTTTAATGATTATATAGTAGACCAGTCTGTGTATGTGCCGTAATTTATTAGCTTATCTACCATTTTTGAACATTTATGTACTTTCTAATTATTTGCTGTTTTCATGAACATCCTCAATGTAAAATCTTTACCCACAGTCACAATCATTTCCTTAGGATAAATTCCTGCAAGGGAAATTGTGGATTTTGAGGATATGTGAAAACACCATCCTTTCAACTGACTCCAGTATACAGAGTAGAGAAACTAAAGCATATGGTAATACAGACAAGGTTGCAGGATGGCAGGGAGAAGTTCGAGACAACCCTGGGGTTGTGTGATTTCTTCAGTGATCAGAAACTCCAATCTAAGAGAATCTGTATAGTGGAAGCAACGTCTGTACTTCAGAATCAGTGCTTTCCTCCTGAAACAGGAAAGGAATACACATTCTCAGCAGCTGTTGCCCCAGCCTCTACCAGTAAGAGTGCTATTGAGACCATGGACCTACAGACAAGGGAGTAGGAATTCACCCTCTTCCAGTGCATTTACTCCCTTGGGAATTTGCAGGTGAAAGGAGAGGGAAGGCTTTCCTTCCTGGGTTGCCAACAGTAACAGAGCTTCTCACTTATTTTCCAGGTGGGATGGATAGCAGGCTCTCAGGCATAACCAGTAATGGAGAGACAAAACCAGTGTACCCAGTCATGGAAAAGGAGGAGGAAGATGGCACCCTGGAGCGAGGGCACTGGAACAACAAGATGGAGTTTGTGCTGTCAGTGGCTGGGGAGATAATCGGCCTAGGCAACGTCTGGAGGTTTCCCTATCTCTGCTACAAAAATGGGGGAGGTGAGAGCTGCTGCGCCATCCCACCCATCCCTGGAAGGAGTGCTGTCTCTTCATCTCCTGCACTTACTGCCCCTTTGAGGAGTTCCATAGACACATAGAGTGCTGGAACTGGAAGGACCTCTAAGACATTAAGGAGACTCTGCAGGAGATTGAGGCCTAGAAAGATTAAGAGACCTTCCTAAGGCTCTTTCTATTACAGCACAACACCATAGAAATATGAGTTTATGCTCCAGAAACAGATGGATCAGGGTTTGGATTCAGGCTCTGCTACTTACTCTCTGTATGATCTTGGGCAAGTTACATATGTCCTTAGAGTCTCAATTGCTGCTCCTGTAAATTGAGATAATAATACCTGCCTTTCAAGGTTCTTGTAAGGATTAGAGATAATGTGTGTAAAGTGCTAAATAAATGGTAGCTATGTTGATGATGATGTCAATATCAAACTTTTCTGTGGTCTTGAGACTCCTTAGCTGTAGCTTTGTCTTCCTCCTACTCTGCTGACATTCCCTAAGCTCTCCATTCCCTACCCCACCAGCATCATAACCTTTGACACTAGTTGCTCTTCCTTTAAAAGTTCCTCACTGCAAATGTGTGTGTGTGTGTTTGTGTGTGTGTGTGTGTGTGTGTGTGAATACTGATTCCAGCTCCTTATTCTGTCTTTACTGGCTTCTCATTGCCCGCTATTCTAGGCCCCTGGGCTAACTCTGCTACCCCACATCAGAAGTAGTGATTTTGCTACTACTACTCCACTTTCAGGAGCGCTGATGGCACAGTTGTAAAGAGCTCAGCTGCTAACCAAAAGATTGGCAGTTGGAATCCACCAGCCACTCCTTGGAAACCCTATGGGGCAGTTCTACTCTGTCTTATAGGGTCACTATGAGTCTGAATTGACTTGAAGGCAATGGGTAGACTCCAGTTTCAAGGAGTCCGGGTGGCACAGTGGTTAAAGCGCTCAGCTGACAAATTAAATGTTGGCAGTTTGAACCAACCATCTGCTCCGCAGGGGGAAAACATGTTGCAGTCTGCTTCCATAAAGATTACAGCCTTGGAAACTCTATGGGACAGTTCTACTCTGTCATATAAGGTTACTATGAGTCAGAATCAACTCGATGGCAATGGGCTACTCCACTGTCAAAGAATCTCATATCTCTGTGGGAAGCCTCAGAGGGGCTCTCTGGGTACTGGGAAGGTGTCTGGCTGATCAGTGGATTAAGAAGATCTCCTTGTTGCTGGGTGACACATGTAGAGGTTGAGGCTCCCAGGTTTGGTTTTGTAATGAGGCTGCAGCCTGGGCTGCAGGAAGGAGTGTACAGAAGCAGGCTGCTCTGAAAATGCTGACAGGAGTGGTCATATTATGGGCCATGGGGGTTGGAGGGTCCTCTAATGCAGCACTGACCCTTTTGCAAGGGACTGGGAGGCCTGAAAACTCATCAAGCTCAAGTCTCACTGGTCTTTGACCAATGGTTTTGGAGGGAGGAAGCATACAACACATACTACTGGGGGAGAACACCAAGAGATGCTCTGGGGCCATAGAGCTTCTCTGTCAGGTTGTGAAAATTGGGCATTGGCCCTGGGGTTAGAAATTAAATTGTATTTTTCCAGAGGAATAGGAATGGGCCGATGTGTCCTTCCTCAGGAATGTCTGAACAGGGGTCTGAAATCACAGGACTTTGCTCAGTCTGCATTGTGAGGGAAGAAGGGGGTCTTCCTAGTTCTTACCTGCCCTGGAGACTCCACATTCTTGTTTAAAAATTTAGGCCTCAGCACCCTCCCTTCAGAAAATGAGGTGAGCGGAAGGGGCTTGTCCAGGACAAAAGCAGGAGACGGGGACTAAGCTGGGCATTGGGACTCTGTACCTGGAACCTAGTAACCAGCTTATCTCCTCACATGGCAGAAAGATTAAGAGGTGAGCAGCTTTCCTCAAGTCTCTCTGGAATTGGGTAAAGGTTGACCTGGGAATTAGCAGGAATGGCACGAAGAGGTAGGAAAGAGGGACTTCCAGGTCTAGTGCAAAACCACTGGGCTGGAGAAGGGGAAGTAGAGGGAGGCAATGACAGGAGCAGTTGCGGGACATGGGGTCCACCCTGTTTCATTTGTCTGGCAACATTTCAGTTTGAGCTTTGCCTCAGGGCCCTGTGGTCAGTTTGTGTGGGCCTGAGCATGTGCTATGTCCTGCGTGGAATGCAGGCCCTGGAAGAAGAGTGCCCGTGACCATTGGTTCTTCTCCTGGGTGTTTGTGGGGGTAGGTGGAGTCAGTAGGTGACTACTGTGACTTCTTCCTCCCTGTAGAGCCTGCCTTCCTGAAAGCTGGTCCTGATTGACAGTTGAGGCTTTTTTAGAGGTTGTGAGATCCAGTCAACTCTATTTATTTAACCTTTACAACACCACCCACAGTATCTTCCAATGATCAAGCCCAGGGACTTAGACTCTTCATCTCTGTTCCCTGACGGATGACAGCAGCTGGGAGGGGGGAGTGTTCTGAGGGGCTTTGAAGCTGGAGGCTGATGCCCAGGTTTGTTCTGAAGGGCATGAGTCACTCAGGGCCACCGGGTGAGTTAATGGAAAGTTTCCGTTGACTGACAAAAGGATATGTATGGTCATTAGAGGAAACTTGACCTGCCTATTTTTCTGTCTTTTGGTATTTCCAGCAGTTTAACCTTCATCAGTCAACTCCCCTTGGCTCCCAACTAGAACAAGCTCCTACAGAGAATGGGTCCTAACACTCCGTCTTATCATCTCTATTCCTTTGTCAAAGAAGAGACTAATGACGCTTTTTGAGACGATCTTTTGCTGCTGATGTGGAGAAGGAGTGTGGGAACAACAGAGACTGTTAGTCTATTTTGATCCGTTTTCTCCAGGTTTAGTTTATTTTATTTAAACCTATGTTTCTCAGATTGGGGCTTGGACTCCCGGGAGGTGATAGGAATTTTCTGAGTAAGTCCTGGAGAAGGATGCTGGGGCCTCCAGGGTGTACCAAGCTCAGATGATGTTCCCCTACTCTATCAGCCTGCTTCTGGGCCCTTTCTCTAATTTTGCAGCTTCATGCAGCCACTTCTGGGCTTAGGTGGGGGATGAGTTAGGAACTTTATTACTATTAATGTTTGTTCAGTGGTGAGGTCAGGAATGAAAAATTCCCTAGGCATAATTTTAGTTCCAAACTAAAAATATAACTGATACCTTCTTTGGTCCCTTCCAGCTTTAACATTTGGTGGATCCAATTTGAAGTGAGTTCCAGAGAAGGGAAGGGGCCAAGGCAAGAATATGATAGAAGAACAGGTAGACAGATAGTTGAAAACTGTTGTTAAAAAACAGAGAAGCTGAGAAAGTGATATTAAGAAGCCTATCAAAAGTCAGAAGCAACAGGTAGGCTTTTTCAGGGAGATGAATGGGAAGGATGCCTGCCCCAATTGTCTCTTAGGTGTAAGCAATCTCCCTGCTGTCCAGGAGCTGTGGTTGGTCCACCCACAAGCATCTGCTTCATTCTAATGTCTTTCCAGTGTCAGTCAGTCTGCCCCAGGGCACAGCTAGCCAAGCCCTGGCCCTGACTGTGCCATTCGACAACAAAGACTCATAGAGTGCCTACCATATGCATTGTTTTTGGTCTGTCAGAAGACAGACAATAAAAAATAAACATAATAAATAAGTGAAGCAGTATAGCAGAAGTTAATGAGTACTATGGAAAAGAACAAGTAGAGCTGGGTAAAGGGGACCAGAAGTGTTGCAATTTTAAAAAGGATGGTCAGGGTGGGCCTCATGGAGAACTTTTGAGCAAAGGCTTGATGGGAGTGAAAGAGTTGGTAGTGCTCTAGGCGGAGGAAAGAAATGGTCTAATGGTCCTAACTGCAAAGAGGCCAGTGAGCCTGGAACAGAGTGAGTGAATGGGAGGTAAGAGCAGAAAAGGAAATGGGATGGGAGCTGGCAGATCATGTAGGGCCTTGTTGGCCATAGTAAGACTTTGGCTTTTACTCTAGTGATATGGGGAGTCATGGTGGGACTTTGATCAGGGGAGTGGCATGATTTATGTTTTTAAACCATCTCTCTGGCTGCTGTGTTGAGAAAGGGAGTAACAGCAGAAGCAGACCAGTTACAAGGCTTACAGAAATTCAGGCAAGAGATGATGGTTGCTTGGACCAGGGTGGTAGCAGTGGAGGTATGAGAAATAGTCAGATGTGTATATATTTTACAGGTAAAGCCAGCAGTTATGAGAGAAAGAAGGGAGTCAAGGATGACTCCAAGATTTTTAGTCTGAGCAACTGGAAGGAAGGTGTTGCCATTTAAAGCTGTGGGAGAAGCAGGTTTTGAAAGGAAAATCAGCATTTGAGTTTTAGGAATGTTGAGTTTGAGATATCTATTAGATATCCAAGTGGAGATATCAACTAGGTAGTAGAATATACATGAGTCTGGAGTTTGTGAGAGAGATATGGGCTGGAAATATAAATGTGGGAATCATTATCATTTTGATTGTATAAGAAAATAGACCAAGGACATTGAAGGGTTCAGGAGAAGTGGAGCAACCAGCAAAGGAGACAGAGAAGAATAAACTAGTAAAGCAGGACAAAAATCAAGAGAATGGGATGTCTTACAAGCCAAGTAAAGAAATTACATCAGGGAGGAAAGAGAGCTTAATGACATCAAATGCTTCAGAAAGGTTAAGAAAGATGAGGAATGAGAATTGACTGTTGAATTTAGCAACATGGAGGTCATTGGTGATCTTTAGAAGAGTAGTATAATGGAGTTCTGGGGACAAAGACTGATTGGAGTGGCTTTAAGATAATGGAGGAGGGGGGACAAGAATTGAAAATAGTAAATACGGGTGATTTGGGCCAAACTGGGGAGTGTGTAAAATTGATCTCTCCTTTTTGCATTCTTACTCGTGGGTGGAAACAAGTGATATGAGTGTGCTGCATAGTAGTAATAGTGTACCCAGTGTGTCCAGCAGTGGTGGAGATGAGTACAATGAGCTGGTAAAATTGCCAAAGAAACTGCATAGTTTAACTATT